AGAAAATATTCCAGCACCTGAGGTTGATCTTGAGGAGAAGGAGGTTCATCGACCATCTGGCGAGTAAGCGCTTGCGAAATAGTTGTGTCTAAAGCTACAGGGATCTCAGGAACTATGGGTTCTTTATCCAAGGCCACTGACGGGGAAAGGGGTTCATATCCCGAAGATAGCTGCAAAGAACATGGATAGGAGTTACTTGGGTAGCAATGTGCAAAGTTGAAATGAAAAGAAAGAGTAGCTCACCAAAGTATCATCCTCATCCACAAAATGCAACATGATTCCTGTGGAAGGATCAAATTGAGAAGAAGGGGTTGCATCTAGGGTAGGTTGCGGAGAAAGACTTTCTTTCCTTGTAGCCTAAGCCAAATTATTCAAAATTCAGAAAGGTTGAAAATAAGAAAGTATAAATATAGAAGTCATACCTCTTTAAGCGTAGCAGCCCTTCGTGATTCCTTCTTAGAAGCAAGGGTTGACCTTTTAGAAGCTTGAGGTCCTGTTGAATGATAAAGGGATAATCATATAAGGGAGAATGGTAGCCATTTGATCCAGAAGAGGAGGGACTCACTGGAAGATTGTTCTGTCTCTTTACCCGCTTCAGAAACAGGAGCAGATGGGGCTGCTGGTTTAGGAGGCACGGTGACTCTTGCCCGCTTACTCTTTCGGGTAAGAATTGGTCGTGTGGTTGCTGAAGGAAGTGCCGGATCAGAGATTGTGGTTTTAGTTATGGCCACCCTCTTTCGTTTAGATGCTTTGGTCGTATCTTTGGATATTCCTTTAATTGTTTCTTCAGCTCCTGAATCCCCAAGAGATTCTGAGACGTCTGTCCCTTCCCCGGCTTCCCGCGTTTCAGCTTCTGCTGCAGCACCATGAAGAACTGCGGCATCAGCAGAATCATTCTCTGATTCGATGGCTTCAGATTCAGTATCAACTGAAGCTGCAGAAATAGGTAAGAGTGAGGAAAGTAAACAACAAGGAAAGCAAAATCGGATGGGAAGAAAGTCACCTATTAGGAGTAATCGGTTTTTCTCTTGGATCATATCTTTCCAATTTGCAAGCTCGCCCGAGCTAGGATATGATTTAAGAGAAAGCTGGCTGAAAATACGATCGTGGTTCACTTTCAAATCTCCTCCGTATTTTCTAGTCCACCTTTCCTCCCACCAAGAGGAAAACAGCGAGGTACATTCGAAATTAAGAACAACGGAATGTCGGGCTGCTTGGCTCATCACGTCCAAGCTACGGCGGGCAGCTCGAAATATTGCTTCAGAAGGAGTCTGTAACCGAAATGAAGTGCCACAATGGATGGAGTCGAAGAATGGGACAGGTATGGATTGACTAAATCCTAACTGCCTGCTGCAGAAGTTAGGATGATACACCTCCAAGCCTCGATCATATCGATTTCCCCGGATCCCCCAGGCCAAGTCTCTTGGCTGAATACAGCTGATAAACCTTTCCCTGCAGAAGGGAGCAGCATCCTCACCAGGGGCATCTTGGAAGGCTTGGTCAGAAAACCAAGGATATCTCCTCAAGACCGATGCACCCCATTCCAAGTCTGACCGAGTCCTGCAGACTCGGAAAAAATAGAAGCATGCAAAGGTGGAATGATCTACAGGATGAGCTTCAGCCAGGATTTGGGCAGGAGCCACACCCTCTGGAAACTCTAGATTGATAGCCCGAAATTCTGGAAAATACCATTGTAGCCAAATCTGTATCATCCAGATGGGGCCGTTCAAATTGGTCTCAAAGGGCTCATCCCGGGTCATGTCAAAAAGAAGGTGATAGAGATGGGAGAGAAGGAATGGACCTGTGGCAACGTCATCAAAATTGTGAAGAACCTCTACCAAGGGGATCCATTCTACCCGTACCCTCTTGGATTTGTTGGGGAAGACGTGCTTGTTAAGCCAGTAAAGAAGAAAGTACATATGCTCTTGATCTTTGTCGGCTTGAGGAGAGCCTGCCCCGAAGTTCTTCTTGACAAAAGGGATGAATCCTTTAAAGGAGGTCCCATAACTTTTGAAAGTAACTGAGTTATAGCTAAGAGGAAGGAAGTAGGTGGAAGAACTTCAGCCCCCGGTGGTAGAGGATGGAATCCAATCTTGAGTAACATCTATCACCCTGCCCGATGGCCTCAACCCGAAGACTTGGGCCATATCAAGAATGGTGGGAGACATGGGACCCATACGGAAATCGAAGGTGTTTGTGCCCGTATTCCAAAAGAGGAGGGCAGAAGCAAGCAATTCAGGCTTAGGGGTAATTGAAATCTTCGAAAGCATAATCAGTTCGTAGATGCCGTTACTCATCCATTTCTGCTTGAAGGAAGGTTCCAATTCGTCAATCCACTGGGCCCTGGTAAGATCATTCATCAAGGGAAAGCCTCGACGATGAAAAGACCACTTAGAAGAAGAAATGCCCGAGTCGGCCAAATAAGGATTTGGGGTAAACCAGTTTCCCCTAGGCATATTACTTTCTACTACTGAGGGAACCCGAGAAATCCAGGCAGGACCCAAATATTGAATCCCATGCATCTCAAAGAAGAGTTCAGAATGCAGACCTGCCCGCGGACGATGCAGCCCGTTGAGCAGACGGCGTAGAGTGGCAATTCCTTCACCAGACTCGTAGGAAGGTAGGGTTTGGCCGGATCCTGAGGCCATTTAATGAAGGCCGTAGGAAAGAAAAACAAGGAGAACGGTAAAGATGCAACCTCGTCGGACAACGAGAAAGAAATGATGGAAGAATTGGGAAGTTTTGTTGTGTCAGAGAAGGTTTTCTTTTTACGAAACACAGAGAACAGAGAAGTTCACTCACAAGGGTTCTAAGAGTTCTAAGGGTTTAAAGCAGGGGTCTCTTTCAATTAATATTGGCGCTTGGGATCCCAACCTTAACATCAATTGAAGGGGGCACTGTTTGGGATAAAATCTGAACTTTGGGCCAGAGAGAAAGTCGGCCCAAACCCGAGGCCCAGAGGAAAACTTAGGAAGCAGGAAAGAGGCTTTCGGCTGGGCACAAGTTACAAAGGCCACCTGCTTACCTGCTCAAAGACCACAGGGGGTAGGCTATTCAGTCACTACATAGCCCAATAAAGTACTTTATTGGTGGCATTCATGTAAAAAAGCTAGTGAGTCATCACCAAACCGCATTCGGGCACCACTATTGCTACAGGAACCCAAGCTGAAGTCGTCTATAAAAGGAGGAAGAGAAGACAGAATTAAGGACACTCAATCAAACAAACAAAAGCCAAAACTCTGCTCAAACCAGATTTGCTTTCAACGAAGCTGTAGTCAGCCCAAGCCTTCATCCCATTCGGATAAACCTTCCCAAACCCCTGTAATAGCTCTGCTACCTTGCTCATGGTGGTATCGATTCATTTTGTATCCTCTTCTCCCCCGTCAACCCCTCTAAAAGCTTTCAGACCTCTGACAGAGCCACAAAGATAGATTTTGTAAGAAGTTCAGCCTTGGCCGATAAGGTTCAAACTTACCCGACTATCTTTGCTCTGTCTTTGTCCTTTCTTTCTTTTAAAAGCACAATAACATGTTATATATATTCCCAGTTATATACAAGTTATTTCTAGCAAAGTTAGAATGAAAATGAGTCTTCAGCACTTGAATCCGATCTGAATCGCGTCAGAGTTCAAATCAGATCTAAGTCTTAAGCCCGCGGGCATGTAATTTAAAGATCAGTAAAGTCCTTGGCCTCAAGGCATAAAAAAAAGAACTCTATGTGGACTCAACCTATCCACGACAATCCTTGATAAGCGAGAAGTCCGAAGTTACTTGGGGCGCAAGTAATCAATCTATTTCTCCGTTTTGTTGCTGTTATATCTTGATTCGTAGAAAAGGCTTAAGCATGGAGTGAATTCTGATAGAAAGCCTCAAGGCCTACATCTAAGGCCCCACGAAGGCATCTATTTAGCTTCATTTCATGTTGCGGTCTAGTTGGTCCGAGTATAAGGATTAACTCTGATGGGAAACCTCAAGGCCTATACCTAAGGCCCTACAAAGGCACTCATTTGGGTTCGTCTTACCTCTTGGATTCAGATAATCAAAGGTATAATAGTAATAAGACTCTGGCAACCATAAAAGACCAAATATGATACATCCAAGCGCTAGTTTAGTTTGACAGGAAGCCTCAAGGCCTATACCTAAGGCCCCACAAAGGCACCTGTTATATCTAACTTGGTTTCTCGGGCGTATACATATTCAATCAAAGCTTAAACACCCATTCAACATCTGCCATACTGAAGATGGCAGTGGCACGCCTGAGCACGACAAAGTTAATCTTGATTGTGAGCCTTAAGGCCTACACCTAAGGCCCCACAAAGGCACCCTTTCAAATTAACTCTGTCCTTCTCTTTCAGAACTGCCCGACGAGCCTTGCCCGAAGTGTGTCTTGCCCGACCAAGATCTGCCCGACAAAGGCTTGCCCGAGCGAGCCCGAGAAGAAAGCAGAAGTACGACAGATACCCTCAACCGACGCCATTCTCCCATGGGAGCTGTGTGCTCGTCCGCCAGGAGATTCCTGCGACGAACAATTATATTATTTAATATATAAATTATTAATATTTTATTATGATCTAGGTGATCGGAGATGACGAGGAGTCTATCGGGAGTAGTCGTTGAGCATGACGAGGACGAGAGAGGATAGTCTTAGCTAGTCCCATGATTATTGGGGGGTCTCACTAAGACCTCTTAGTGAAGGGTTTTGTCCATACTAGTTCCCTTTAGTCTCATTAATGTTAGTCCCAGCATGGAACAAACACGGTATTGGACTAACAGCTAGTCCAATCCAGTCCAGTCCAATCCCACCTAGTGAGGGCAAACAAACGCCCCCTGTGTGAACTGTGAAGCCATTTTCGTTAAAACTCACCCAATTAAAAATTGAACAATGTTGAACCCAATTCGAGTCCGGTCGGGTTGGTTGGGTTCATACCCGATAAAATCGAACCGCAGCCCAATTCGAGTCCGGTCGGGTTGTTGACATTCTATGCTTTCTCTTTGTCGAATCGCAGCCCTTGAAAAAAAAAATCACAATTAGGGTTTCTCCCAGATTGCTAAATCCTTAATCCGCATCTCCCCTCTCTCTGTGTTAGTAACAATTCCGTTCAAATTGGACGGTCGTAGCGAGATGGACATGGAGGTGGTGGGCCGCCACGCGCTTCTCTTCGACGACGACAACAACGCCTCGTTCGTCAATTCACCCGACGCCCTCGTCGAGTGGAACTCGCTCTTCATCGACCGCTACGATGTTCGCCACCTCCTCCCCAACCCTATGCCCCCTCGCACGCGCCGGCGACATCTCACGCGCTCATCCTCTTCGCCGCCGCCTTACCACGATGCCGCGCTCGAGTCGGAGCTCGATCAGGAGCGCTACCTCGATTTGCCGTCGCCGTCCGAAGAACAGGAACAAGAACAAGGTAAATTGTTAATCCCTCAGTTAAAATTTATTAAACTTTGTATTGAATATAGTATGATTTCTGATAGATTTGGTATTCTGGATTTGTTACTATATATATATATATATATATATATATATATTTGTTATTTGGTTTATGGGAAAATGAAAGAAAAGGAATTAAAATTTAATGGTTAATGACCTTTCGTTTCAAAGGGATGTCAAATTAGCTGAAGTGAAATTGTTGCGTGTTGTAGGCTTTAGTAGATTAAGGTTCCATATTGTCGCCCTGATTTGTGCTTCACAAGGGTTTTATTAAAAGATTGAATGGAGTAGGCTTTTATGTGTGTCCTGGTAATCTGGTTTTAACTCAAATTCAGGAATACCTACAAACTATTTGTTTGGGACATGAATACATGCAGATTGATCTGCCTAAGAAGAGCAAAGAAAGGGTTGTTAAGTGGTGTAGGTTATGAGTGTTAAACATTTCATTATTTTGCAAACAATTACTAAACGGTGGAACAATGAATGGTGATTGAATAAGTGTGGACTTTGTTTTAGGAAGAAGTATCAGTGTTTGAAAATGAGTGCAGAGTAAAATGGAGTTATGAAATTTTCAAAACTTAGGATTAAAGGAAATGTAGATTTAGGTAGTGGTGTCTTTTGGGTTGGCTATCATTCAAGGGTTTGGAGGTTAGTTTGTGGTCAGTTGTGTAGCCATTAGAGTACTGCACTGGATGTTTGTTTGATTCATGATATTTGTTGAAATGATCTGTTCGAGTAGAACAAAGAGAACCTCTTCATTTGTACTGAAAATGGAGAGGGTTGGTTCTTTAATAGAAAACTGTGGAATGCATAAACCCCCCAGAATTGGGAATATGATCCACTTGGACCTTAAGGCCTCGATACGATGGAACTCTTGTTTTTTATGGAAGTTGGAATTGGGTCAGATCCTGAGGGTGTTCTTTTCGTTCCTTGTTTGCTTGGGTTGGGGGGAGGGGGAAAGGAGGGAGCAACAGTTCAAGACTATGATCGAGAGACGTGTTTGGTCTCTTCCTTCTATCAATGTTTTGTTTTTTGCATTATTTTTTCAGTTTGTAGGATGGGACATAGTTTGCAACAGTTGCATTTATCAGAGACACAAGTAAGAATATTCCTTTCTAACTGTAGTCTCTCTTTTATTTATATTTTCCCTGCTTGGTATATTAATGACAGCTTTGGGTAAACTTGATGTGTGTAAGATTGATTTTGATCATTAAATCTTTATGTCTTGATATAGGTAAAGAACCAGAGCAGGCAGAGGCTGGTAGCTATCATTCTGTTGGATTCTCATATGGAAACCTAGATGAATTCACTTTGCAGAAGAATAATGATCCCGAGCCTGTTTTCCACCCAGCCTTTCCAGTGCCAGATATCTTAAGTCAAAACCTTGTAAGTATACCTCTCGTGTTTCTTATTTGTCAGTGTACAATTTCACATGACCTGGATATTATTGTTTGTTTGATAGTTAACAAATGTGGCCAGATGATAATTGCTAGGGTGCATGTGTTCTTCTAAGGCTTACCATGTCTAAGTTTCAGATACTCGGAGAAGGCATGCAGTTCTTGTGACACAAGGGGCTGTGCAGGTGGGATTAGGATTGTAGAAATTTATTGAATCTTTACTGCTTCTGACCAACTGGAAGAAATATATCTTGTTCGAGTTATGTTTCTTGATCCTTATGGTTATCTGGTATATATGAGGTTCTGAGGGTTTATCTTGGGTTTATTATTATGCTACTTACTTCTTTTTCTCTGGATGTGATATCTGCATTTGTGGAATATCTCAGTGTGTTGATTTTTTTCTTTCCTTCTGTTTTTCCCCTCAGCCTCCAACGGAAAAGGTACATCAGATCATTGCAAGAACTGCTTTATTCGTTGCCAAGCATGGTGGGCAGTCAGAAATTATTTTGAGGGTGAAACAGGGAGACAATCCTACGTTCGGATTCTTGATGCCTGACCATTACCTTCATGCGTACTTTAGGTTTCTCGTCAATCACCAAGAACTATTGGAGTGTGACTCTGATGGAAAGCCTCTACATGAAGAGAAGAGAGCTGACAGTGGACTTGATCAGACAGGTGGTGCGTTATCTTTGCTTGGTTCTGTATATGGTTCTGGAGAGGATGACGATGGTATAATTGAGGATGCACCTGAATTGAGAAAACTCAAGTCTGATGAAGCTATTAATTCTGCCAGTGCATCCGTTCCTTGTGTATCAGAACACCTAGAATCTTCTGGAAATGTAGCTGGGAAAACTGATATTGTTTCTACGAGTCCATGTATTCCCAAGAAAGAGAAAGTTAATGTCATAAAACATAATCGCAGCATTACCACAGTTAAAGGTGGAGCTATTAGTGGTATGAAGAAAGAAGATGGTGCCACAGGATCACTATCTACTGCTGCCAATGACTCACAAGCTCCTGCTATGCCTAGCACATCCAAGGTTGAACTACCCATTTTGGAGCCACCGGCTGATCAAAAGAGAGTGGTTGATAAAATAGTTGAGTTTATACTAAAAAATGGTAGAGAATTTGAAGCTATTTTGATTGAGCAGAACTGTAAACAGGGAAGGTTTCTGTTCCTTCAGCCATCTAACCAGTATCATCCTTACTATTTAAAAGTTCTTCAAAAAGCCCAGGAGGTGCGTATCTGCAGAACCTAGTAATGTCTTTAAAGATTTTGTGCTATTTGATTGAGTATCTTTGTTAAGAATATAAGAGTTTTGGGTGCCTTTTTCTGCCTGTTCTTAAATTGCCTTATGATGGTCCAATGTTTCACATTACTGATATTTATGCCTGGCCCTTTCTCTGCAGTCCAAGGTATCTGGCAAGGGCTTGGTTCCTGAGAAGCATGAGTCCGTGGGGCATGTAGTGGACAGTAAAGCTGCTGTGGAAGGTGATAATGTCTCTTCAGAATCTGCTGGTCATGATTTGCCATTTGATTATGACAGGAAAGAGAAGTTTAAGATGGTAATCGGCAACTCAAAGGAGGGAAATGGTCCACCTCCCAAAGCTAACGAGGGTCAGTCTGGAGTCAGCCTGGATGCGGTTGCAGCTATTCTCCAGGCAGCCACAAGAGGCAATAAGAATCCAGGTTTAGAGATGTTCCCAAAGTCATCAAGTGGTATAGGTCAACCTCCTACCAGTGAGGGTGGGCAAAATTTGAGCTCCGGGAGTCTACATACATCTCAACTTCGCACTTCCGTTCAAAAGGCAAATTATTCTGGGGAGTCTCACGTTCCCGTCCCTGTTGCCAAGGCCATTGCTGAGACGGCTGCTCTTGCAGCTGCAAATGAGGCAGACTCCTCAGAAGCATCCTTGACCAGAGAGCAGAAGTTGAAGGCGGAGAGATTGAAACGAGCAAAGATGTTTGCAGCTATGATAAAAAGTGGATCTGCACCATTGAAAAATGAATCATTGCGTGGCTTATCGGTTGAACCACCAGAATCAGGGCTTTCCTCATCAGGTAATGTAAATCTTTCAGTCAAAGAAAGAGAAGGCAGTTCAGTTCCATTAGAAGCTGATATTTCGGATAAGGTTGAGGAGTTACAGAAGAAATTTGTTGCTGATGAATGTAATGAGCGGCGTTCAAAGAGGAGCTACCGTTCTAAAAGGTATGAAGGAGAAGAACTTGACAATGATTTGCAACAAGAGAAAGAGGAAGAAGATAAAAAGGGTCACAAGAACTCTAGGAAGAAGCATCGGTCTCATCATTCTTCAGAACACAGTAGGGACAGGCATAAGCATAAAAGACGTCATAAGCATGACAGTTCTGATGACGAGAAGCATCGGCACTCACGGCGTAGGCATAAGAGAAATAGCTCTGATGATGAACATCAGCCTCAAAAAAGGCGCAATCACGATCGCTCTGATGATGAGCATCGGAATTCTCGACGTAGTGATAGGCATAGTGACTCTTCTGAGGATGAGCACCAGCTTTATAGGCGCCGGCACAAGCACAGCAACTCCTCTGAAGATGAACATCACCACCGCAGCAGATCTGTAAAGCACAGGAAACCTGTGTCTGAAAAAGGAGCAGAGTTAGAAGAAGGCGAGATCTACACAAAGTCAGATCAATCAAGAGCTAGTGAGGGTGCTCATGCTAGTAGGGAAGCTTCCATTGATATTTTGGAATCACATCAAAACGGAAGAGCTTCATCGCAGACTTCGCAACCAACGGAGATTTCCGATGAACTTAGAGCTAAAATCCGTGCTATGTTGATGTCAACTTTGTAGAAAGGGCACCGTTCCAGTTTTTCTTTTGTTGTAAGAACAGTTATGAGTTTGTCACGATTGTATCTCTATTTTTAATGCTAGTATCAGTTAATTATTTCCAAGTTCCAACTGCAGAAGACGAACCATGCTCCACATTTCATTAGCCTCAAGAACGAGTGCTCTGCATCTTTCAAAATCCAGATGCCAAATCTTAGAGAGTTTTAGTTAATAGACCAAAATCTCCAATTTTGTCCAAACCGAGACTAGCTCCGCTGGTTTAGGGTTTGTCTGCGGTAATCTAGTCTACCAAGTATTTTGACTTTTTAAACATTCTTCGTTGTTTGATTTCTAGGGTCTAACAGTTTATTTTATAAGAATCAATCTTTATCATTTATTTTCTTAACTAGTCAGTAGTCCCGGACTGTTGAAGAAAAATTGCTTCGTACGCTAAAAAACGGTTTGGGCTTCGAATATGAGATCTTTCTCATAAAAATGAAGTGGGTGACATGTCGTCAGGCCGTTTCTGTAGACACGGTGGTGAAACAAATGGATGGGATTGTATCCCATCACATGGTTTTAACCAAGTTCATTGCAGGAAATAGCTCCCCAAAGTAATAACATTCCTAACATTTTGTTTTTGAAGTTATATTCTAAAATTTAATCTAAATTATAGAAACGACAATTCAAACTTTGAACACAAGGGGCACAGTGCCACGGCCCATAAAAACCCAATTTACTTTCTTATAAAAGCATTCAGAATCAAGGGTGTTTTGCTTCGTATTGTTTTGTCCTTGTGTGAAATCTTAGTCAACTTTAACTTGATTAATGTAGATTCTATTTCTTTTTTCTTTCACTTATATTAGAAATACAATCGGTTAAAAGATTAGTGTTAAAATAATTGAAATTCAATTAGTCATTCCATATGATTAAACACTAACCAGAGTTGATTAATTGTGTCCTATTGAAGTTGAAGCACGTACGTATGTTGTAAAGTGTAAATTCAAAGCGAAGTTCCACTTTCTAAACCAAACCCGTTAATATTAGTATTTGGGTGGATGCTTAACGGGTTGGGTCACTAACGAGTGAATCTGTTAACAACCCGTTAAATAACGGGTCATTTTGGGTCAACCCCCTAGACCTGTTAGCACCTGTTATTTAAAGATGTTTAAGTAATTTCAGTAAAGTCTTAACAACAAAAAATAAACTATATGCTGACTCTTGTTTCGCACTATGCCACTCGCTCTCTGCTTTTGGCTCTCTACCCTTTCGTCCCTTTGCTTCTGGGCCTCTAGCTCCTTCTCGCTCTTTAGTCTCTCTCCAATCTTTTATTTTCTCTCCATTATCGAGTTTTTCTGCTATACCATATATGTTACTGAAATTTAGACTTAATTAATATTCTTTCCTTCCTAAACTGTAAGTAATATAAACTTCTTCTTGTTTAGACGTCAACTTCAAGTAATATAGCTTCCCTTGTCTAATACCATAACCAATCGTCTTTCGCATCCGGATGTCCTTGAAAACACAAAAATAGGGCTAAAAAAAACCAAACAGTGTAAGTTAAAGGTTATTTGGCAACGGATAACAAATTATAATTTAAGGATGGACCACAAGAACGGGATCAAGTTTCATGGTACAGAAAGGGAAATAGTGTCTTCCCCGACTACCGGAGCGGCATTTCCTTTACCAACACTAACCATGGTTTGGGTGGAGGTTTCTAATGATGAAACTTGTCTAGAAACACAAGTCATATGTTCCATAGCACCGAAATCAATTATCCATTTATTATTCAAAACAGGAGTAGAAATCTTGAATGCCTTACCATCATTACCTGTCGTAGCAATCATAGCTGATGCATAATCCACTATACGATCTGCATCACTCTTAGTTTCAGCAATAGAAGCACGAGATTTATTGCAGCATGGATCACGAGTTTTATCCCAATTCTCAGGATATCTAATCAAGTCAAAACATTGACTTTTGGAGTGGCCCGTCATACCACAATGTGGGCATTTACCTGGAGGGTAGCCCCGACTTGTCTAGTTGGTTTAGGTTTATCTTATTCAATTTTCTGACCCAGAAGACGACCCACGAGTCTTGGCTATCATAGATGCAAGCCCCTGCTTGTCTCATTCCCGTCTTTATAGCCTTTTTTTCTCTCAGTCATAGACGACCCACGAGTCTTGGCTGTCATAGATGCACCACACCTCTCCACGCACTTGACCAAACCCATCGTCTAGAACACCAAGAAACAAATAGGCCCTTTTTCTCTCAGTTGCCTTTTGAAATGTTCTAATATCCTTTTCACACTCGACGGTCACTTTATCAAAGTGACCCAACTACAGGAAAATCTTAGTTAACTCCCCAAGATAGGTAGCCAATGATCGTCCATTCTGACGAAGACACTATGCTTTCTAATTCAAGGTGTAATTCTAGTCTCGTCATTCTCATCGAAATAAACTGTTTTAAGAGAATCCCAAATTTCTTTTGAAGTAGACAATCGAACGTACTGCTTCAAAATTTCTGGCTTCATCGACGATAACAACCAATTCTTAATTTTTTGATCTTCGGAGAACCAATCATCATATTTAAGATCATCCTCGTTGGATGCCTTGATTGATCCACGAAGATATCCCATCTTCTTCCTTCTAGCAATATGAATTTAAATGAGAGGAGCCCACAAATCGTAATTCTTCTCATCCAATACCTTACCATATTAAAACTTGAGTTATCTGATTGCACCATAATTAGAGCAGCAGCCTTCACATCTTGTTGAGCCCCATCTTGTTCAGCCATGGGTCCTGCTGTTGGCAAGAAATTGGGCAACAGTGGCATAAGGGATAATCAGTGAGACAAAAAACGGTTTGACAAACCACGGGCAGCAATAAAGCTGTTGTTGGTCACGAGATAAAATAAGAGGCAGCAATAAAGCTGCTGTTGATCACGAGATAAAATAAGAGGCAGCAATGACCTTTTTAAGTCACAACACGACCAAGTTTTCTCTGGTTTTCAACTAGGCTATGGTGCCAAAAAGAAAGAATGCTTTCTATATGTTTATTCTTTTTAGAAAAAGGTATTGATATACAACCCATTCTAACCAAATAGGAATAATAATTACAAAAGATTACAAAAGGATATGCTCAGATTACATGGGATCCATCTTAAACTAGGAAACTCTAAATTATAGGAAACTATACAAGTCAACAATATTTTGCTAATATTTCCCTTCATATTTCTGAGTGTCTGATACTTCTGTTAAACTTAAAAGGCATATTTTTAGTTATGCTCCCTGAACTTGATTTCAATCTCATTTTGCTTCTTAAAAATCAAAAGTCGATAGTTTAGTCCTTGAAACTCAATTTTGATCCCACTTTACCCCCAGAAACTCAAAAGTCACCATTTTACTCTTTGGAACTTGATTTGATCCAATTTTGCTCCTTGAAACTCAAAACTCGTCATTTTACTCCTTAAAACTTAAAATTCACTTAAAATTACCTTGTTTCTATTTTTTAGAATAAGTTCATCCATTCAAAATTTATAATTGGTTATATGCCAAATTTCCCCCTAAAATATAAATAGTAAAAGGAACTAAACAAGCCATCTTCTCTTCACTAGCCACCTCCATTAAGAACATAAGAACATAAGAAATGACAAAACCATTGGAAATAATATGAAGGTGAATGGAGATGGAGGAAGAATGATTGAATGTCATACAATGTTATTAGATATGTTAGCTTTATACTTGTGTCATGTCAACCATAAATGGGCCCTAATTATGCCATATAAATGAACTTAGCGATTATTTAACGGACTACGTAGAAATAAGCCAAAATGAAGTAACTAATGAGTTGCAAGAAGTAGAGTGACGACTTTTGAGTTTCAGGGAGCAAAATAGGATCGAAATTGAGTTTCAGAGAGTAAAGTAATGACTTTTGAGTTTCAGGGGGTAAATTGGGATCAAAATCAAATTTCAGAGAGCAAAGTAATGATTTTTGAGTTTTATGAAGCAAAGTGAGATCGAAAGTAATACCTTGCTGGTCATACTTGAGGATTATAGCTAGTAAACATAGACAGAACCGTTTTCCAAATCATGTGGGAATCTTGCTAGCGCTCTTAAAATATAATGTCGTAACGAGGACTGAGCCTTTGACAATTTCTAGTAGGCGTGCAGCCAGAGTTACATATAGTTTTGATGTTTGACTAATTAGTTGGTCAAGGACAAAAACTTTGACGTACAACAAAATGTATATATGTTCAGGTTTTGGTAGAAATTATAGTTAAGCCCTCTTGCATGTATCAAATTAAGAGTACATTAGCTGCCTTGAAAATAATGTCGCAACCTTAGCTAAGAATTTAACGGGTGGTCGGAAAGTTGAAATTGAGAATGACATAATTAATTTTAGTGTGGAGCGTATTCAGTGATTTTTTTAGCCAAATATTAAGTGATTATTAATTTTTTATTCTTTGTGTGTTAGTATAAACGCAAAATACACGAAGAATGAAAATAATACTCACACTTTTTCATACCATTTTTTGTACAAAAACTTCAATCTCGCACAGTTGGTTCATGAACGAAGAAGCGGAAGTATCAAACATGCTGTACGAGTGGAGTTTTTCTCATTGCTTGCAATAAGAAAAAACCATGAGTTTCTACTCTAATCCTTCATTATGTGTTACCTTTCTTTTGAAACAATTGTAACTCTTTTTATAATTAATCTGGTGATCCAATTCCAACCCACACTAGGCCTTCTAATTTGGCCACCAGAACTTGGTCCAAATAGCCTTGCTTTTCCCTGATCTTATTCCCTATCAAACATGTAGTCTTTTTCTATATTGGTTTTCGGTTTTCTCCATGCCATCTTATTAAATTCCACCGTCGTCCCTCCATGCTTTTCAGACTCTAAAGTTTTTCTTTAATATTGGCCCTAACGTTGAACCCCCATTTCCATTTTTTGTTACCATACATGCAATGCCATGCTGAATCTTACGTCGACAGGGTCTCATGCTATTATATATCTATTTTAATTGTTTTTTTTTTTTTAACTTGGTGATCAAGATTCTTATTAATAAAAGTAGGTCTTCTCAATTAAAACTGTTTAATAATTCATAGATACGTCTAGTTTCA